TTTCATGTAATCGCAAACGAAACTAGATACTTTTAACGGATATTAAGTGTTATTAAAATCTCAGCATCTAAATTCGTCGTATACTACTTCCGTAATAAATTGTGAATAATAAACAAACATATAATCAAATGTTTCAGCTTTAGAAAGGTTTAATGAAATAATTCATATTATGGTGAACTTATTTGATAAAATTGCTTGGGAAAGCGGATATAATACTTGTCATGCATACTCTGCCCCTTAATGAGCCCCAGTACATTTGAAGCGATGACATGTTTTACTGAATACCGAATTCGTCATCATCGTTTGCCCAATGTTATTTATTTTTTGGGGAAATGTTTTTTTTCTGAAACAAGTTAACATTATCTTAATTGTATTTAAAAGGCGGAACAGAAAACATATTATTTTTAATTTAACTGATAACAAGATATTTCTAAGAATTTTGTAATTTGTTTTCTTTTACAAAGGTTATGATTCGTATTCTCTTTGATATTTTCGATTCGGCAAAAATACAATCGAAATCTGTTTTGGAATCACACAATACCACACAAAAGCAAGCATATTATTAAAGCACGACAAGTTACAATGGTATACGTTGCTGAAATGTAACGAAAATTTTTTACTGCATGGTAACTACAAACTAAAAGTGCTTGTACTTCGTAATGATACGGTATGTCACTGATGTACTGAATGCATGCATACGGAAGCTTGCAGAGACGAGCTATATAGGTAGGGATACTTATGCATGAGCTGAATATATGAATAAAACGATAAGATTTTGAGTGCTAAGAAATGGTGATTTGGGTTTGTATAACATATAATATAATATATATCGATAAACGACTTCGAAGCACGGTTGTTAGAAACAGTCGACGTTGGGATCCAGGACGAAGATTCATTTACTTTCAAAACAATTGTTTAACAAGGTGTGGAATGTTTGCAAGGGCACAAGAAATATTTGTCCATAAACAGTTCTTATTACATATTTATAAGACAAGTAGTGAATATAATTTATATCACATCTTTCTAAAACAGTGTATTTAACGGAAAATCAAACTATCAATTTAGGATTCATAAAGAGAAAGGTAGCATCAGTAGCATATGCACTAACAAATCCAATTCACAAAAAATAGTATACTCTAGAAATAAACTAATTGCAAAATTTCTACATTACACACGTTAATAGTTTGCCTTATATATAAGTATTATCAAGAAAGCGATTCCTTGCCGTAGAATACTTCCTTGAAAACATTTTTTTTTAAATTAAAAATAATTGAAAACTACAATGTTATCTATCAATCTGTTTAAGAATTACACCTTCAGTTTGTTAGTTAACTATCAAGTAGTATTATATATTAACTTTATCATACAGCTTGGATATATAATAATTCTATTTCTTAGTGTTCAGTGAAGAATTTTAATGCACTGAAAAATATTGAATAGTATGTGTTTTATCAACGAAAAACAACAAACATGCAATAATAATAATAATAATAATAATAATAATAATAATAATAATAATTATTATTATTATTATTATTATTATTATTATTATTATTATCTTACAAAACCTGAGGTCTGTAGTGTAAGAATTATCATTTATTGCAGAGAAAACTTATCCATAGAGAAAATCGTAAAAAAATATGGACCTTGAGAGCTATTTGTAACCGTGATAATAAAATCTTGATAATGTTGCAGTTGCCACGCAATCACAGTCAAGGTCACAATGCACGATCATGACGTGCGTGTCGGTATACTCTTGCATTTCCTAATCGAATCATGTTATGCTAGGGGGATTATACGAGTACAATCCTTTTTCTGAACAAATATTATTTAAATGAGTTATGTTCTTCTGCATAATCAGTATTATCTACAACAGAACCATTGCAAATCAAAATAGCAAAATATCCTGGCACCTTGCTTTTTAGAGTAATTTAACGCTGAATTGGTATACAGTGTTAAAGATAAATGAAATTTTATTAAAGTTCAATAATAATTTATTTATTTACTATTGCAAATATAAATACTATTAGTACCTCGTCTCAGTTGTAATTAAAAACTAATGAATAGTTAATTAATTTTAGGAACCCTATGAAAAAAACTTACTTTATTTTAATTTTCAATGTAAGAATAAAAACTTAACAAATGTAGATATGTGTTCTTCTTGATCAAATGTAGATATGTGTTCTTCTTGATAAAGAGTTATAATTTTTAAAGTGATTTCATATTTAACTTCAGAATAATTCTTTTAGCATAGCAATGACAATGTTTATTATTAATTTATTGGATTGACACAACAGAAAAAAGTATATAAAATTTTTGATTATATTATCAGCCAGTTATTTAACCAATCAAATAGACATTAGGGTTCGGGGAAATTTTGGCAATTTCATTAGGATTTCCGTGGTTCTGCGTGCTGATGTCTCAAAAGATGAATCAGTTTCAATAAGTTATTGTTTTCTCGCAGGCGAACAATTGAAACAAATCTTGAGGAAAAGTTCCAACAATATTAGAATTTACGAATGTAATACTTGAAAGGGTGGTTAAGATAATCATACTATCTCAGGAATTACATATACTATATATATATATATATATATATATATATATATATATATATATACATACATACATACATACATACATACATACATACCTTTTGATACCAGTAACTTGTTATTTAGAGGGTATCAGAACTAAACAGCAAAACTTGGAAGATGTACTGCTCATATGAAGAGAAGAAAACTCAGTTTTAGAACGAAATTCGTATTTAGACATAGAACTAAACTCAAAGAACTAAATTCATAGTTAGATCATAGATGACCGAATTAAATATTGCATCGAAGGTCACGAAATAACATTTTTTCAAAAAATATTTCTATTCGTCCGTCACTCCAAATGAATATTCCCACATCGATCTGGTCAAACTCGGCGATCTGGCGCTGAGAATTAGAAAAAGAAGTGAAGATGTTGGAAATTCTTCTAATGAAGCCCCAATAATAATTTCAAAATATTCTACATAATGGCCAATAGGCCACATGGATGTTCTGATGAAAATCAAATAAGTACAAAATCTTATGACGAAATAGCAGGTGAACTAATGTCAATCAAAGGGATGCTCAGAGTTGAACAAAGTCTGAATAATCTGAAGTCCCAGTTATCAATTTAAAACAGATGGACCAAGCAACTGATCTAAAAATATCGATTTACACCGGTTGAACTAAGAACGTCGATTAAGTGGTTGATTTAAAGATAGTCGATCGAGTGAATAATTTGAAGAAAGTAGATCACGTGACGGATCATAAGAAAGTTGATGAAGTGGATGATCTGAGGAAAGATTCTTCACATCAGTCTGATAATACGAAGAAAGTGGTTGCTTTGAAGAAAGAGTAGTAAGTTAATGATCGATGTTAATTGTCGATAAAGTAGATATTCTAAAGTCAACCAAGCAAATTAGCACAGGTATATCAAGCGAATGATCACAGTCAAATTGAACACGTGGTTGAACTGAAAGTTGTCGATCGAATAGTTGATCTGCCACACGTCGAATAAATGTTTTAAAAAAGTCGAACATTGGATGCTCTGAAGTTCACTAAATGAAGAATACGTAGAAACTCAATCAAATATTTGATCTGAAGGAATTATATAAAGTAAACGATTTAAAGTCGATAAAGTGAATAACGTGAAATCGGACAAATGGATGAACCGATATCTATTTAGTAAATAGTTATCAAACAATTTGCTAATCTGACTTCGACTTCATGGTTATCTGAATAAGTCAGTTCTTGTAGCTGATCTACGAGAAATCGATCATCTTTTTGTCCTGATATTGATTAGGATCTATTAATAAGATGAAATCGATAAAATGGTTGTCCTAAATAAAATTGATCAAGCGGCTAATCAGAAGAAACTCGATCGAGTCCTCGATCATCCAAATATGATAAAATAAAAGATCTGAAGAAAGTCTTTCAAGTGCATGATTTAAAAAGTCATTCTAGTGCAAGCTTTGAATAAAGTTGATCAAATGGATGTTCAGATAAACTTAACCAAATGGATGATCTGAAGAAATTCGAACTGGTTGTGTAACGTATGTTGTTTTTGAGCTGTACACTGTTAAAAAGTACTGATGTTTGCAAATTATCAGACCAGATGTCCCTTCTTGTTTTAACAAATTGTGACATTTTGAATCATTTACAAACAACGTTGTAATACATATGTATGCATTTCATTACTGCTGGCTATAATATTAACCGTCATTTACAAATAATAAGGGAATAATTTTGTTTTGGTAACATCACTAGTTTCTTGTGTTCGTCGCTCGGTGCGAAGTCGAGCGGGGATCGATATGCACACCGGAGAAGGCCACTTCAAACGTTTATTTGTTGATGTACGTGAACGTTGTTCAAGTTGTATTTCAAAACGCATTCGATTTAAAAACGCAATGGCGTTGGGAGAATGGTATTTAACTTACATTACCAGAAGGAGGTTAATTCTAAAAAAGGAGTCATAATGCGCAACGTGACGAAATGCACTAGCAAATACTCGAATATCTGCGCAGATATGCATTTACGGGTCCACGGAAGAATAAAGTAATTTCTAAGTACATATATGACAAAGTCATTGTCAAAGTTTTCCATTTAGTTCTTATACATTCTGCATACACATAATTAGTTTGGATTCAAATGACATATTTGCCATGAAATACGAAAGAGTCTGTGACCATTTAGACGAGATCTTGACGCCCTTATTTTTGAACACAAGCAGGAAAACTGACAATGTTGACGCCCTTTGACTCAACGTCCGTGAACGTTCAATTACCATTCAACCAGGTGTAACATTTGTCCGTCTTAATATTCGGACGTAGGGTCTCCATAAATGGGCATTTCCAGTGTAGTGACCCTTTAGTACAATTCTGCAACAAATCTTAGACGTACGACGCGTTTCATGTCACCCAGACGCCATCCAAATCGTTGGGAAGCAAAGTGTTATATTATTTCTTGGAGATGGAGGACACCCACGAGGTACGTGTCAGTTTTACAACTTCTGCTTTCTCCGACCAGGCAAACACGCGTCTGTAGCCACAATCCGCAGGTAAAACTATCAGAAGCGAAATCCATCGGATCCTGTTTTTTTTAGGATGAAGGTTCTTGGTTCCCATTATCGTGAGAGTGCACGTAACCCCGTTCATTTGCTGGTCTTCCGCATTAGAGGTAGTATCGCCCCCTCATCCAAGCAAATGCGTGTCTCACCCATACGAATTCAAGCAACGGATAGGCCTGGAGTAGTGAGTATGCACAGTATAGCTTAACGAGATTGGAAAACGCCAAGCAGCGGAGGTTACAGGCTGGGGATGTCGACAGACTACCGCCGAAATGAGATAACAAAGATTCATCTAATTCGTGTTAGAATGGAACACTATGGGCTTAGGAGACGCTGAAACACAAGACCTCCCACATCCATGCGCGTAGAATTGTCCCGTATCCCGGCCTCTTTGAGGTCGTTCTTATATCCCTACCCCGTTCTTATTCTCCTCATCCAAGCAAAAGTGTTCCTCATCCGGACAAAGGCAAACAGCAGAGGTTCCATGATGAGGATCCTCAGACCACCGCTGAAATGCAAACACAAATCGCTTAATTTAATTCCAGTAAGAATGGGAGCACGTGGGATAGGTCAGGGGCACGCTGAAACACTCCCACACCCATACGCGTAGAAGTGTCCCGTATCCCGAACATATCTAGGTCTCCGTGAGGTCGTGGGCCAGGTATGCAAGTGCAGAGGCCGAGTATTCGCTGACCGGTCCGGCTCCGCTGCGACACCGTCCGCCAAGGCTGTGTGCTTCCGCAGGGCGGGGCTGCGGCGGCGGCCGGGGCTGCGGCGGCGGCGGCGGCGGGGGCGGCGGGCGGCGCGGCCAAGATGGCGGCGCTGGAGGCGGAGGAGGAGCCGGCGGAGGAGGACGAGGAGGTGGACGAGGGCGTGGGCGAGGAGGGCGACCACGACGACGAGGCCGAGCGGCAACGCGCGCTGGAGGCCGAGGAGCTGGAGGAGCGGCTGCGACTGGAGGAGGAGGAGGCCCTGCGACTCCAGCGGGAGGAAGAGGAAGCGGAGCGACTGCGGCTGGAGGAGGAAGAGGCGGAGCGGCTGAGACTGGAGGAGGAAGAGGCGGAGCGGCTGAGACTGGAGGAAGAGGAAGCGGAGCGACTTCGACTGGAGGAGGAGGAAGCGGAGCGGTTGAGACTGGAGGAGGAGGAGGAGGCTGAGAGGCTGCGGCTGGAGGAAGAAGAAGCCGAGCGGCTGCGGGTGGAGGAAGAGGAGGCGGAGAGACTTCGGCTGGAGGAGGAAGAAGAAGCGGAGAGACTGCGTCTGGAGGAGGAACAGGCGGAGAGACTAAGGCTGGAGGAAGAGGAGAGACTTCTGGAGGAAGAGAAACTACGCCTCGCTGAAGTAAGGCGTTTTCCTGCCGTTGTGAGAATATGATCACCTCTGGTATTCCTTTACCCTCTCCTTCAAACTCTTTCTCTAGCTTCGGCTGTGAACAGCATGCGCCTCGTCTGCTCGTCATCCGTCGGTCCTGATTTGATGTTTCCGCATCTACTTCTGTGTTATCCTTTCATCGACATTATCCCCTCATTGAACAGTTCTCAAACCATACTGTTTTCTGACTAGGTTGCTCGTTCTGTTGACACTATCGTTAGTAGATATTTCATATTTCAAATATAGCTCAATATCTGCCATGTAATCAAAAATCCATTGAACCTACGTTTAAATAGCAGCAAGAATGCAATATACCTTTAGATAAATCATGCAATCGTGTTCTTGGAACAGAGGTCAAAGCAGATGGTAGAAACAAAATTATCACAAATATCTCTCATGGCATCATTGATGCATATTTTATTGCAAGTTACACACTGCGAGTGTTCAACGCCGTCTTTAAGCATGAAAATAAACCCATATTTAATATAATCATCGTTATACATCGTTTTTTTCAAAGCTCATCTTGATTGATATCACATCACAAATCACTCAATGTTCCAAGGCTACTGTGAAAATAAAATTGAATCCTTCCTAGTGCGCCAAGTCCTAGGAAATGTTCCGGTACTCTCAGCTCGATGGGTCCATCACCCCGTTGATTTCTCTCTTCGCCTCCCTTGGGGGCGCGGCTGCCTCTTTGGGAACCAATGCCCTAGAAGGAGAGACACGATCTTCATATATATGGCCTCCTAGACCCAGGGCTCACTGACGAGAACTGCTCCTCTTGACCGCTCTACATGTTGTTCGCTTGTTTGTACTTTTCTCTTGATCACCTATATTGAAAGTTTCTCTGACCTGTAGGCCAACATATTTTTATTTGTGAACTTTATTTCATTCATAACTTGCAGAAGAATGTTCGTCATGTTTGACCTACTTACATAATGTCTGCTGTTGTTCATGAATTAAAGCAATATATTTTTTCTATAATGATTTCAGGTCACAAAGCTACCCATTCTTTCTCAATACAATGTCGTCTCTTATAACTAAGGATTATTTAGATCATTGGTGACATGTTTAAAAACACATCCTAACAAACTCTATATTCCAATTCACATCGTTCCTAGTTTGTGTTCTGTATATTCCACAAAGTCGAGTAAAGAACTGAATTTACGTATTTGTTTGTAAAAATTATGAAGAAACACATCCTCATATTATAATTCATCTTTCGTTCATGTAAACTTTCAAGCTTAGGTTGGTATTTCAATATAAATCCAATGGCTGGGATCCAGGACATAAACTGTTTGAGGAGTAATAAAAACGTCAAAACCTTTTGTTGAAACCCATATGGTAATATTAAAATGGTCATGACATTGATCTTTATCAGTCCTCCATTATCCTTTCAAACCTTCGCTGCAACGCGAGTACGCAAATGCCAGAAAAAAGTCCCGGATAGGTTTTAGTGCTTTTGAAGAGAAAACGAAAAAAGTATTGTATTAAAATATTTCCTGTTATCACACTGCAACCTTCTTCAGGGCCACATGTATGCATTAATATGCTAACTTCTTCAGGATTACATGATTCCATTCAAATACAGGCTTTTTGAGCCAAGTTCTTGAACGAAAAAAAAAGCCTTCTACAAGGCTGAATGCTTTTATCCAAATGGAGCGTTCTTCAGGGCTAAATGATTTCATGGAAATGAAGTCTTCTTCGAAGATGAGTGCTTGCATTCAAAGGCGAGGCCAAATTCTCTGATTCAGCCCCGAAGAAGGTCTCAGCCTTAAGACCGCACCCTTCCCAACCACCTCCCCTCCCCTCCCGTCCCGCCACAAAGGGGCGGAGCTGAGCGCGTGGCGCGCGCGCGGGAGCGCAGGAGGCGGCGGCGGACGCGGAGGCGGCGGCTGCGGCGGAGGCGGCGGCGGCGGCGGCGCTGGCGGCGACGGAGGCGGCGGGGGCGGAGCGGTGGGAGCGCGAAGAGGGCGAGGGCGTGTCGCCCGAGGGCGACGCGGAGGCGCGCGCGCTGGTGGCCGAGGGCGACCTGGAGAAGCTGGCGGGGTTGGTGCTGGCCGGGCAGGGCCACCGCCTCGTCGGCCTCACCGCCGACGACCCCGAGACGCAGGCCTTCCTCGCCAACGTGCCCTCCTACTTGGTGAGTCGCGCTTCGTACATACGCACTAGGGCGTCGATGTGGCTAAGACAATATGAATAGAAAGAGTTGTGTGTAATTTAGATTTCGTCACGTGTGCACTTTCCGTTGGCCGACTATAATCTCTTTCCTCAATGTATTGAAACCTCTCGTGAACGTCGTTTATTATCTTGTTGAGAATTTGAACGTGTTTGTAAATTAGATTATACACGAATATAATGAGGAGGAATATAAAATAGATCAACTAAGACGGCTCATAGCATCAACAGATGTCACTGTAGTGCCTTTGCCCGGGAGGTCCTAGATTTTGAGTCTCGACAGTTTCAGGATTTTAGATACTAATTAGATAGCTAGGTCGATTTAAGTCGCTATCTAAAGGATAATTCTAGCGGCCGGATACTTGGATCAGTAGTTTCCCGTGGTTTCTCCCATCGATACCAGGCGAATGCTAGTGCAGTACCCTAAACCACGGGATTCGGACCTACTTACACATTCTTACACTCGCATGCAGTACACTATCACACATGTCAGGAGCTTCGAACTTGTCCCGGCTGGGGTGGTGACACACTGGGGGGAAATACCTTGTTGTGAGAAAACCCTTCGTAGTCGAAGGTAGGTCGAAATTACACTGTAATGTGCCGCATTACACTGAACACTGGTTGTCATGCTTTCGTGTAAAATGGGGATTCTAAATGTTGTAAATGAAGGACGAATCGAGGGAAAGGAATTAAAGAAGTGATGGCAAAAGTATTCATCTACGATCATGAATAAATAAGTCGTTTGGAATTGTGAATAGTTGATTAATATGTAATGAATGAAAAATGATACAGAGCAACAATCAATGAACGCTCCATTCCTAAAAATAAGTATTAGGATATTTCTAATAACATTATTACTACTCGGACATTCGCCTGGCATTGATGAGTAACCAGCCGGTCGACCCGAGCACTAGGCACTTCGCGCTCGCGCGTGCGCGTGCGCAGGCCAAGATCGGCGCGGTGCACGCGGCGGCGCGCGACGGGCAGCTGCGCGCGCTGCAGGCGGCGCTGGACCGGCGGCGCTTCGCCGTGGCGCGGGACCCGTCGAGCGCACTGCTGTGCACGCCGCTGCACGCGGCCGTGCTGCACGCGCGCGTCGACGTGGCGCGCTACCTGGGCGGCCGCTTCCCGGAGACGCTCAACGCCGGCGACGCCGACGACCGCACGCCGCTGCACTACGCCGCCGCGCTCAACGACAACGGCCACCTCTACAACGTGCTGCTCAACCTCGGCGCCAACCCCACGATCAAGGACAACGTGAGTCTCCGCCCGCCCGGCGCAACTTTTGGATCAACACGGTTTTGGCCGGGGTTAATTCCGCTGCTCAGTCTGGGCGGTGCCCTGCTTCTTCTTGATCATCTTCGTGCTTTTGAATGCATGTTGCCTCGAATTCAAAAGCGTCACGTCTCATATTCATTGTCCCACTTTCCTAATGTGATTTTCATTTTTGGCAGTACCCTACAGACAACTAGATTATCATACTGTCTCTGAACATTTACGTACATAATCTGACGTATCCAAGAAGGTCCCGTCTTATATTCATTTTTCTACCTTCACAAATTATCTTTCATTCTGGAAAATACCGTACAGATTACTTGCTTCTTATATTTTCTCTGTACATTTACATATGTGATCACATGTATCCAAGAATTTCCCGTCTGATATTCATTTTCCTACTTTTTTTGTAACGTGATGCTCATTCTAAATTGTAGCTTCCGGATAAAGTGATATTCACACTTTCTCCATGCATCTACACGCGTACTCTCTCTCCCATGTAAAAGGTCAGGAAAGATATTCACTTACCTACCTTCGTAACGTGGAGTTCATTCGGACGACTATCCCGTGAACAACGCGATTATCTCCTTTCTCCAAGATGTCAACACGTAGTGACAACAAGCAAGAGTACTGTAATTTTACTTCGAATCGCAGTATTCTTGCCACTTGTGCACTAGATCCCGAACTGACTTGAATTGAATTAATGCCTTATTTTACGTGGCGAGACTCAGGCCATGACGCCTGCTCTTCCGTCTGACCACGCAAATTTCGCTACGCTCCTTTCATCAACTAGCAGAGGAAGGAGGTATTTCTTGGGCGAGAAACAGGCAATTTGAATTTAGCTCAGAGGCATTATTTAGGCTCTTTTACATAAAAGTAAAATCTATTTACATGGGACAGCCGGCTTTACTCCCCCTCCGAAGGAAGGCGTACGAAGGATTTTTTCGCCCTTCGATCGGGTTTGAGACCGCCAACTAGGGTACAACAGTCCGATATGCTAATTGTTACCGCGCCTTCAACTCTTGCCCTAAACGGGTTTCAAGAAAATGCTTCTCTCTGAGATTCGTTTACAATGATTCCATCGTCTCCGCCAATAGAATATCTTTCTCAAGCAGGGCGTAACTGGCGGTGGATGTGTTGCAGCGCGGGCGGACGGCGGAGTACTACTTGCAGCACCGCGACCGCCTGTCGCACAAGAAGCTGCTGGCGGACTACGGCTCCCCAGAGAGCCTGGCTGACGAGACCTTCGGGGACCAAGGTAGTAGCCGCGGGGCCGCCTAGGCTGCAAACACATTCGCACACATACAACACACACATGCGCGCGGAAGGAGTTCAACTGACTTCGAGGGAGGAGGCCTGGCACTTTGTAGCTTTTGAAACGAAGGCCCGTAAGGTTTCCACGTCGAAGTACAACGAGTGATCAATTCTGAGTATCTGACAAAGAAACTTTTTCACCTAATCTGTTTTGAAACTAGCAATGTTAAATCTGATGTACATTATTTCGTAACGTAAAGTCATAATGCTTACCGATAGTTATCGACCACAAAGTTTACGGATAGTTTCGTATTTGCTTCTGTTTTTACAGAAGAAAGAAACGTTTGTTAATATAAGATCTAAAAACGTGAAGAATATCTTGTTAAGCAACTTTTTTAATGAAACTAAATCTGCAGAAAAAGAGGAGTCTTGAAAATAATAGCCAACCCAGAGAACATAAAATAAATACTCTTCTCTTCATACTAAGCCGACTTTACGCGATTCTCGTTTGTCTGTGACAGCTTCACTGCAACGGCATTACTGCTACTCCAGTATAGTCAATTGTTTTGTCGAGTGTTGGATTTCGGCTGTCTGCTCTCTTGAGGTGAACGGTTTGAACTCTTTTTAAGATCGAGAATTTCATTCATGTTGTTACTTCCCCCAAGTTGGCACATCTGATACAAACTACATACTAGTTTCGCGATTTTTCTTGACGTCTGAGATCCCTAGTCAACCCAGCACGACTCGGCGCGGTCTGGTCAAAGCCTTGGTCTCACTTGGAACTGCACGGCAAGCTTATCAGGGCTGCCTACCGTTGCTATCGAATGAACTCAGTTCTACGCGTTTTTGCTGTTCTTTGCTGTACCCTGTAATTTATTTGCTATTTTATACTATGATAGTTTTCTTCCCTCTTGGCTTCACGATTCGGATTTTGGTCTATTTTATCGTCCATAATATCCTGTTGTATTAAGAGCGAAAGAGGCTCCAATAGTATTAATAATATTATACTTGGCAACACCCGTCTGGTGTGACGTAGACAGTAGCCTCCTCTCTCCTCACCCCGCGCTTCGAAACGTCAAGAAAAATCGCGTGACTAGTAAATCACACATGCCAGAAAATGAAACTTCTCTCAGAACCAATATTTCATGGAAAAAGACACAGTACACTCAGTGCCAGATATTTTGCATTAGACGTTCAATGTATATTGAACAAATTGTACAACTCGTTTCCAAGGTTCTAACTCACATTATAAATTTTTGGCATACACACGAGGAGGTTTTTTCAATGCTACACGAAATACTCAAACTAATGTGATTTTGTGTGCCAAGTGTGACCTGTTTCAATATTTACATTAACGATTTTAATTTCGCAAATAGCATACTGCAGATAAGTCCACCCAGCGATGGAAATCTGCCAAATGGTAACTTATTGCTAAATGCTTTTCCACAAAGGTTTGAAAATGTTTATGTTTCTTATGTGAAAAATATTCAAGAAACCTTGTAAAGTCTGTGTCCGTCGGTAAATATTACTGGAATACCTAATACGTATTCAATGTTATGAAATGAGAATCAGATTCTTGAATTAAGGAATTGATAATTGTGTAGTTGCATCGTTACAATTTTTTTCAACATCAAGTTTTAAGGAATGAAGATAAACACTGCACGCAAGACACACAGATTTCGATTATGCGTTGTTAAGAGGTTGATTCAAATTTTACCCAAAATTCTTGTTACTTGTCCCACAAAATTAGTTTCAAAGTTTTAAGAAAAATAGTTAATATCTAGTTGTAGGTTTAGCATATAAAACATAATAAATAGTCCAACCAAATTAAAGAGTTCATAGTACAAAAACAGGAACCTCTTTATGCAAGAAGGCAAAGTAAATTTTATTGTTTAGAAAATGAAACAGCTTGTCCGAATTTAGGGCTAAATAGACTGCAAATGACAGTCTCCAACGAATGAGAAAAAAATTAGTTCAAATTTAAATATTTTAAAATTAAATTAAAATTTTAAATATTAAGAGAATGAACACATATTAAACATGAATTATTCTACCAACTTTTCAATATTGTTATATTTTAATTTTCAAAGAATAAGAATTTAATATTATTATTCTATAAAAAGAATGACTAGATTCTCTGAAATGTTCTACACTCTTAGGAATTATAAATATATTGTAGCTTCAGCCATGAAGTAACATTCAAATCACCTGCAGCTTCGGCATATCCATAAAGCAATGTTGTGTTATTTGATAAGAGACATCGCCAATGATTGTATGTAATTATTGGGTTTAGTCTGCTTATTCTGCAAATTCTATCATAAGACATAATTATTATAAATGCGTTGACTTGATTTGTTGCTTTGTTTTGAATCACGAACAATTTTTCTGTAATTGAACCTTATGTAACTATTTGTTTTCACACTTTTTGTTACCTAGTGTCGCCTTTGACCTGATGTGTTTTGTTGTTAATTAAAGGGTGCTGTGATCAATAAATTGCCAATGTCTGTCCAAAATAGTGTTTTTCATTGTTTGGTTACACGGTTGATACTGAAGGAAACCACAAAAAAAAAAAAAAAAAAGTTGCCCTGTTTGAATCCGAATGGGAGGGTTCGAGAGGAGGATATATTAGTATCACAAACATTAACATTGCGAGATATTTTTTTGCGTCAATCCAATACAAGAAAAAAATATGACTGTGGATTCGGTTACTCGAAAATGCGGGATTCTGTTCTCAGATACAGAATGTGGGTTACTTGTCTTTGTTAAAGATCATACACTCTTGCACAGATTAAAAGTCTTCAGTTCGCGGGAAAAGTTTCTTTGGTCAGTTGCGAGAACCGGATACATGAATACAAAGAGATTGATAGGTGTATTTATGCTAATCGTGATATTCTCGCTGAGAGTAAATAATTTAAATGGTTATTTCTTTTCCTTCTGGTGATATTTATCCGCTTTGGAGTGATGTAAGGAGTCCTATTCAAGCGGTTATTGGTGCTTTCGGGAGATTCGGAATGCATATTTTATCAAGAATTTAGAGAATTAAATAACGTTAAATCATTAGACAAACATTTAAAGAAGACCTAGAAGAGAATAAAAGCTTAATCATGTGAAGCTGAAGATGGCTGAACTTAATATATCTAATATGTATCCTACGAGTACTTCCTAACTATGTTAACTATATTTACAGTTTTCCACAAAAAAATAATTAATTTTTAATTTACCACGAATTAAAAATTCTTCGTGTTCTTTCAAATGCTTTTCTTCGGATTTATGAGATATTAATTGTTCTAATGATTTATTAAACTTTTCTATTGTAGCTTTCGGAAAACACGCGATTTCTTTCCTCTCCCCTTTCAAATCTGCAGCACACTGTGATTGTTTTCTAAATATCCAGAGTTCAGAGAACTATGGTATTTTATATTTTATTAAGTCACACATCGGGAAGGCAGGTTGCAATATTATGACTAAAATTTGGGAAATAAGACCTATTGTAAGTAATAAAACGTGTTATAATATAAACGTATATAAAACGCGGATGAAAAATATAACATTACTCGTTTTGAAATTCGAGCCTCAGCTCCTTCGTCACGTCCGGCTGAAAATATTTCAGCCTGTAATGACTTTCTTTCTTTGTAACGTAAGTTATTGTTATAAAATTAATTGTTAAGGTGTTCATTTGTTATACGCAATAGTGTGAACGCTAACCTAATATTTTGATACACAAGGCACCATTACAAATACTAAATTAATAGAAATTAATAGCACTGGGTCTATGCAATTGCTATATTTCAAATAAAATTAAAAATAAATTGAAGTAAAACATTCTCTTATAGACATGAATAGTTGGAGGTACTATATGAAGAAATTGAAAATATCTTTCCTTATAGAAGAAGCAATAAAACATTTTTGAAAACAACATTTTTCAAATCTGTGACAGTAGAGAAGATTTGCAAAAACTACCAATAACAAACTGGTTTTATGAAGAATAATTATTAAAACCTTTTTCAACAATGTTTCGACCTGTAGCGCGATAAACCAAGAGCAAATTTCCTTTTCCCCAAAACTAGCATCGGTGATCATTCGATACGAAATCGTGTTACTGGGAAGGAACGGATATCGTTGGCAGTTTTTTTTAACAAATTCATTTGAAGTTGAGAACCTAGTACGCTGCGTTTACGACACGAATACGAGAAGGCAGACAACGTAATAAATTCATAAAGCCAATATATTAATCAATTATTTTGTTGTAATCCTTATTTGAATATGAAAAACGAACCATTATTTAAAGATTTGTGAGTCATGAATATGGGTAACACATGTCTTCGGGTTAAGTGTTCTTCAGGTTAATCGTGTTTTTTTCTTGGGTTAGCGCATGGCTTTGAGCTAATTGTTCTCCATCCCAGGGTGAACTAAACGTGGCCACGAAATAAAAGTGGTTTTGAAACTAACGTGACTTGTAGCTAATCGTTGGTCCAGGCTAAAGTGGTTTCAGGCTGAATGTCGCTTTGTGTTAAACATGAGCAAAAGTGCCTTCGGGATAGTGATCGATTTGAGTTTATCAAAGTTTCTAGAAAATGGTGGCAGAGAGCTAATTGTGACTCGAGTCTAAGAGAGGCTTTAAGCCACACGTTGCGTCCGGCTAAGCCAGATGTGCATGCCTTAGTGTCGCTCGACGCTAAGCGTAGGTGGGAGCTAAACGCGGCTTCAGAACGTAACTTCCCGCTAAATATATCTCCTGGCTAGGCGTTAACTTGAGCTAAGCGTGACTCGGCACTAAGCGTATATCCGGGCTAAGAGTTAACTGAGACTAAGCGTGACTTGGCGCTAAACATATCTCCCGAAGAAGCTTTCACTGAGGCTTTGGGAGGCTGAGAGCTTGGTGCTAAACATATCTCCAAGTTAAGCATTAACTGATATCAAGCGTGACATGACGCTAAACGTATCCCCGGGCTAAGCGGTAACCAAGACTAAGCGTGACTTTTTACTAAGCATACCTGCAGACGAAGAATTCACTAGCACGAAGTGTGACTTGGCGCTAACCATATCTTCGAGCTAAGCGTTAACAGATACTAATAGTGTATTAGCGCTAAACGTAACTTCGAGCCTAAGCGTAAAACCGAGACTAAGCGTGAGGCAGACTTAAGCACTCCCTCGGAATAACCGTCACGTGGCTAAGGGCAAGGGCGAGTCGGGGTTGAGGCTGCGTTGCGGGCTAAGCGCAAGGCGTGGCGCGCAGTGGAGGGCGGGGACGAGGTGTCGAGCCGGCGCGCCGAGAGCGACCCGGAGGTGCTGGAGACGCTGGAGCGCTGCTGGGAGGTGGTGTCGTCGGGGCCCGCGCCGCCTTCGGGCTACTCGCGGTCGGCGGGAGCGCTGCTGCGCCGCCACCTGCGCCGGCCCGTCTTCGAGCGGCTGCGCGCGCGCCGCACGCGCCACGACCACACGCTGCTCGACGTGCTGTGGCCGGCGGCCAAGCGCCTGCCGCACGAGCCGCCCACCAACGCGCCCGGCGACGACCAGCTCGAGGAGGTCATCTACCGCAACGGCGGCGTGCTGGCGCCCGACTACGACGCGTGGACGCTGTTCGGCGAGCTGCTGGTGCCGGTGGCGATGGCGGTGCACGGCGTGGAGGGCGAGCGCCCGGCGCGCACCGCCCCTCGCGCCTGTGGGGCGAACGGCCCCGACGACGACGGGCGGGCCCGACGACGAGGCCACTCCGACAACTCGCTGGGCGCCTGCGCGCGTGACGTGGACCCGACGGCAAGTGCGGCAGCGATGAGCCGCGCGAACTGGCCCGCGCCTGCACGACTTCAGCTGCCGGCCGGCGCTCACGCTGGCCAGCTGGAGCAGGTGGAGGCGGGAGATGCGTGACGGCGCTGGACGCGGCGGCGGAGGCAGAGTCAGGCGGTCCGGCGCGCCGGGCGAGTACCACGCGCTGGCCGCGTGCTGGCGGACGTTCGCGCGGTGCGGCCGCGCCTGCGCTGCCGGGCTGCTGGTGTGCCGCTGTCGGACGCCAACGGCGCACTACGACGGGCCTGCCTCAAGCGGCACGCACTGGCCGCACGCGGCGACGCGTGTGCTGTCGCGACGCGGCGGCGGCCGCGTGCCTCAACGTGCAGAGCACGTGCGAGGTGAGCGCAAGCGGTGGGGCGGCGGAGGGAGGCGGCGCGGCGCGTGGGGGAGGCGTTACGACGCGCGTTGGCGCCGGCGAGGCGGACGCGCTGGCCGGCCGGCGGGACGGGCTGCGCTGGCGCTGCGCGACGCCCGCCTGGGCCACTGGGCGCGCGCCCGCGGCGCTGGGAGGCGGCTGCAGCTGGCGGCCGATCGCGCGCCTGCCGCGCCTTCGCCGGCCGACCGGCCTGGACGACGCTGGCCGCCGCCCGCGGCCTCAACGCGCGCGCCTGCCGCGCCCGCCGCCGCCGTCGAGCTACCCCGCGCGCCACCTTCGGCCGGACGACTGCGCGTCTTCCCGACTTGCTGCGCCGCCGTCGCCAACGTGTGAGTGGAGCGCGCCGCCGGTCGCCGCCGCTCGCCCCCGCCAACGTCCCCGGCCTGCTGGGCGGCCTCTTCAAGAAGAAGTAGAGCCCGCACCCGCCACCACCGCACCGCGCCGCACCGCACCGCATCGCCCACCGCACCACAGTCAGTACATACTTTAAACGGTTAGCGTTTCGGACTGTTGTTCAAACCCGATCGAAGCCGTGGATTTTTAAGGGCGAAAAAATTCTTCGTAGCCCTTCCTTCGGAGGGGAAGTGAATCCGGCTGTCCCATGTTAGTAGATTTACTTGCATGTAAAAGATTCTCAAAACTAAATGATACCTCTGAGCTAAATTCAAATCGCCTGTTTTTCGCCCAAGAAATACCTCCTTTCTCTGCTAGTTGGTGAAAGGTGCGTAGCGAAATTTGCGTGGTCAGACGGAAGAGCAGACCTAATGGCCGGAGTCTCGTCACGTAAAATAAAGCATTTATTCAATTCAATAATTAGTAGCTTTTATTTCGTGTCCCGTATCGGCCATCGTAGGGCCACGCGATACGTGCATCTCATCGGGGCTCAGACTTAATTATCGGGGTAGGCGCACGTTACTTTTTTCTAGTCGGGAGAATCAGCATTTTAATACTCATTCCATTTTCACACCCCAGCCATGTGAGTTAGGTTAAATTGTGATGATGATGATGATGATGATGATGATGAATAATGAAATACAACACAACCATGCTCGAGGCGAGACCCGCGATCTTTTGGCCCGAGACCGCGACGGCACTACTGCCTTAGCGATCTCGGTCATCAGATCGGCCTACTTAGTAGTTTTATTATTATTTGTTTACATTATTCTGACTATTCTATATACATTTTATACAAAATAATTTCAGTCCGTTTTTTTCTTTCAACAGGCATTCATATTCAATGGTAGATCACCACATCACATTTAAACTTTTATGAATAAAACCGTTATTTTTAGCTTTTAGTTTAGTATATAAGTTTTCAAACTTCTGAGCGCCACAACCTGGTGGGCTGCAATAGCTGTTGAAGGGACAACAAGAATTAAAAAAAAAATATATTGTACTTACTGGTTAATCGGTAAGAAAAAAATTAAATTGTGATATTTTATTTTTAAACTATTGAATATTTTGTATTACCTAACATTTTCATGTAGAATTTCAGTATCTTCATTAATTTCGAGCAGCGCCGTTGTATGGTACGTCCAGGCAAGGGGAGCGCGGTCTGAAAAGTTTGAGAACATCTGGGTTATTAGCTTCCCGTCTCTGGCCAAGGGTTTAAGTACAGATCCTACCATGTGAACGTTGCGGAGGGCAATCAAATTTCACCGCCGTATTCCAGTTTCTTCTATCTCTCATTCCACCACATTATCTGTAGTCATTCTTATTACCATATTTTATTACATCGATATCACTATCTCTCACCACAAAAGCCTTACAGAAGAAATCTTCTGTCCTGTTGCGATTCTCGCTTAAAAAATCGGCCATTCAAGTCTCTCTTCGAAGTACACTAAATAATAATAATAATAATAATAATAATAATAATAATAATAATAATAATATAGTGTAATGAACAGCAAAATCAATTGGAGAAAGTAGTTGCTCAGCCTATTTACTCGCTTCCACTCCTGGTTAGGACTTTTTAATTCTGAGATGAGACTGGAGAAGTGAGCGAGATCCAAGTGCCATGCACGAAACTGCATACCATATAGTGAACTATAATGTAAGAAAAACGGAAGAAAACCGAGGAAACGTGCTTCAAATGCGGGTTGTTCTCCACAGATTCCACAAGGAATGAGCAACAAGTGAACGCTGGCTAGCAGAGGTGGACGTTGACCAGAATGACCACCGCAATACAATTCTTTAGTAAAAACCATTTATACGTGCGTTCATTTTCGTCAACGTGATACACATTTCATTGAAATCAGAACTGAGTTTTGAGTTCCTGTAATAATTTCTTTCAATCCGATCTATTCAGAGATAGAGTTCGCCACTTTCTAACCCAACATTCTATGTTCACTTCAGTCGGTTGGTTCTTGATCGTTTTGTTAATCAGTATTGTATAATTCCGAAATGTTCTTGATATATATTTTTTTGTAGATGGGTGTGTATATCCCCAATTATCTTCTATTTTTGTCAACCTTATATTGCGTGAGATAAGTTATAAAATTAAATGAAATTGAATACATGGAATATTAATAGTATAATATAGTAATAATATAGTAAGTAATAATATTTTTGTCGATTGGAATAATGAATAATGATGAAACACTGTGGTATATGTGCTTGTCCTTGAGGTATACGCAATTTAAAGCTTTTATTTGACGGTCAAACTTGTAGAAATCTTCTACGCACTTTTATTGAGTACTTGTGTCCCTGAAATGTGAAACCTACACATTTCACAACCGGGTTTCTCGATTTAGGTCGTCAAAAATTCCAGATCTTTTATTGCTATTGTTCTGATATTGTGTATTGCATTACTAAATTTCATGTATATTATATTTGAAATTTCTCCTTGATGCATGCATTTTTGATAGTCTAAGTATGTTTATTTTCAAATATCTTCGATCGCAATTTACTTTACTTCGTATACAGGCACAAAACGTAATAACTATTGCTAATAATGAATACACAAATTATTATTTGCTTTCAAAACCACTTTTCTCCCTAATTAAGTAATTAAGTCGATGATATGAACAAACAAATGTAGAAAAGGTCTGCTTTTGCGCTGTACGTACACAGTATCTCTTTTGCGACGGTCGAAGATATTTGGCGACTTCTGTAAACGGTTGTAGGCTTACTTCGTTCCTGAAAAGAACAGTCCAACTGAAACAGCATTTTTCGTGTGCAGCTTTCGCCCTCCACCCGCACCTTCGCTTGGCACCTGCCCGCCGAGCAACCGCCCTCCCCCGGCCGCCTCGTCTTCCTGGCCGGGGGTTCCCCGGCGCGCCGCCCGGCCACGCCTCCCCTCCAGCCGCCGCCGCCGCCGCCGCCGCCACCGCCGCCGCCGCTGCGCCGAGGTCAGTGGGGCGCCGTCGCGGCGCTGCATGGCCGCTGCACGTGTGCCACCACGTGACCGCCACGTGGCCACCGCGTGGCCACCACGAGTGCTGCCTCTGCATGGAGTGGCTCCACCGCCGCCGCCCGCCGCCTCCGCCGCCGCCTCCGTCGCCCACTCGGGGCGACTTGCATGGGCGGGCGAGAGGGCGAGAGGGGCTTGCGGCCAGGGCTCCACAGTGGCCTCCGAGAGTAGCCGGAGGCGCCCTGGGTCCTTTGCATGCTCGCGTGGAATGGAATGACATGCAACGGAATGGAGTTGTGCTGGCAATGCCACACGTCACTTTCAGCTTCTCGGGGGAAATTGCCTTCCGGTTGCAACAGTAGCAAATAGTTTTGTACCTGCGATCTTTGGAAACGAGTTGTATAAGCAGTTTAGAATAGACTCCACTTGCATACTTCCGGGAAAAGTAGCAGCAGAGCATGTACAAGAGTGTGAGTTGTAGAAGGGTGCGGTTATGCAGCGGGGGGGGCGCCGCCTTACTCTTTGCTTCTGTTGCAGTTCGCTCGCGAGTGGAGCCCGTGTTTTGGACAGAGGAAGGTCGTTACCTGGCAGCTGGTGAGTATTTTGTTAAGGTTTCTAGCCAATGAACCATGGATTGTATCAAATAAAACATTGTACAATGACTTCATTGTCCTCACAATATATCAAGAAGTCCAATTCAGTTGCACAAAATATCATCATCGTTAAATGAAAGATATATGATAAAATCCTAAATTTATCAGAGAAAAAAAATCCATGAAGGCTGTGAACGCTCAGTTTCTTTACATGCCATTGTAAAATGTTATCAAAAGATATGCCTATTGTTCGGATGTAACAGATTGAAAATAAAGAAGTATTTAAAAAATTGTCCGTAGATGTAAAATGCTTCGATTAAGGATGCTGCGAAGCTTCTTTGGCCTTGTTTACAACGATAGACCTTACACGATACATCAACACAGAAAGTACGAAACGTTCTACAATTCACGTAATGACCTCTCCAACGTAGATTAATGTGTAGATACGTCGATATTTTACGATTCACATAACAATATCTCCAACAGTGATTAATGAAGATACACGGTTCCAAATGAGAAAAACATATTTTTCATCAAATGTAATTTTCATTCAATATATTTCAATGCGTTATGTTTTAAAATAATTGTCGTCCACTTTCCATGAACGTGATTAGATAAATACAAGGAGTGCTATGTATTTTCTGTTTTGTAAAGCTGTAGAATATCTGTGCGAGTCTGAGAACGAGACGAATATTTGCGCATGCATGTTTCAATTTAGGGTCTTCAATGGTCTACACAAACATGTCTTAAAGAATTCCCGACGGTCGTGTAAATATTATGTACAGTCATATCTTTTAAACGTATTCCTAGATTAAATTGTTTTTCGGGAATTCTAGAAACACCGGGTACCAGGAAATTTTGCGTACTTTCGTGTCCAGTGAAATGCTTGGAAACGCCGGTGCTGGCAAAGGGGTGAGGGTGGCGATGTGGTGTAGCAGGTTGCGCTTGTTGCAGCGCTGGGGGACCCCCTCATCAAAGGGCTGATGGAGATCGCGGAGGTGCGCCCCGCCGACCCCATCGCCTACCTCGCCACCTACCTCTACAACTTCGCCAACAAGAACAAGTCGCGCGTTGGCACGCAGGTAAGCCCTTCGGAGCGCGAAAAAAAAAAACAGAACGCGCTGTCATACACACGCATAAGCACGTGCGCGAGGTGCATTACGCACGTCGTAACACCACCTATTGCTTTTAAGAATAACTTCAGGCTCTAAATATAACTGGAAACAACTATACCGCATAGTTTACGAGTTGTAAACATTGGGTATGCTAATAAACAAAGGAGCCGCGGGTTGCCTTCGCAGTAAACCGAAACCGCGCATTTCGTAATATCAGCATTTCAAATTCAGTTCCGTATGCAAAGGGTAGCTGAGAAGCAAGCTTTATACAACCTTCAACTCGCTTGATAACATACATTAGAATAACATGTTTGGATCAGTTGCGCATAAAATGGAAGAATGTAAAGAGTACTTTTGCAAATTTATATATTCGACTATTAACCAGACAGAGTGCCTACTGTAATTTGAATATATCGCATCAGTTAATTCAGAAACGAAGCTGGAACTATGTTTTTATTTTGTCTGAAAACAAGAAAACTATAAAGAACCTCCCATTAAATCACACTTGTAAATATAAAGCACCGTCGTAGATACGTGTCTTTTAGAGCAGACTATATTTTTTATTTCTGAAGGAGCATCTCTTACCGAGAAGAGCGATTCTATTTACTCTGCATCTGCGGATGTTCGCGTGTTGGCAGCACTGGCCCTCGACTGAATCCCCTCGCTATTCTACCATCGCCTGACAGTCATTTGTCACGAGCTAGCCGCGCCGCGGTCGCGAACGGAGACAGTTTTATGGAGGGAAGAGGGCAGGGTCACGCGAGGCGTTGCTCTCCGACTTGTTGCTTCGAAAGCCAGAGCGAAATTGCTTGTAGCGTGAGCCATCGATTTAACGCTACGTTAAAACGAGGTGCGAAAAGACGGAAAATGGACTCAGTGTCAGTCATACATTATCGCTAGCGTGATTCAATAGACCTTTTCTCTCTTTGCGACCGGATGTCTGCCAAAACGATGGAAAAATGTGAGACACTTAGGAGAAAAAGTGGCCTAAAGAACAAAAAAAGTATTAAGAAAGCTTGACATTTTTGAAGTGAAAATACGATTCAGCAGAACATTAAAAACATTCTAATAAATGTACTAATAATGACGACGGAACAATAAATACTAGTTGGTGGCCATTCTGAGTAAATATTAGGATCATGTGCATACGGTAATATCTCAAAATTTCTCAGCTTTAAATATACATGTTATTGGCGCCTTAATATATTCATGTAGTGTATTGAGTGTTATATTTATTTCTATTTTTTCTATATCCAAAACTGTCAACCATTCCCACAAAACGTCGCTATCAATATCTGTTACAATGGGCATAAAAACGTCAGTATTTAGTAGTCATGTAACATTGCAAAAAATTGATACTTGTATAATAAATATATCAGTCGTTAGCTTAAAATATTTTAAACAACTCATTTTTTTATTTATAAAATAAAACATTAATCAATTCTAATGACTAATTTACGACTTTACTTTTGTGACGGAGTCAAATAGGCAGATCCGAGATCAAATCTGCAGATACGAGGACAAGCGCTGAAGTGACTCCTAAGGGGGGAAAAGGTCAATAGGGCTTACCAAAATAAGTAGTAGAAAATATTAGTAGTATAGTCAACGTCACAAAGAAAACAAATCCTTTAAATCGCCAACGTTTAGGCTATTATTAAACATTTATCAGAGCTATAATACAAACAAATTACAGTTCTTAAAGCGTCCAAATTTAGTCAACTGCCTTAATCCTATGTACGTCAACCAATCTTTTTTCTCAATTTGTAATCTGTATGGATTAAGGTATCAATTTCATGTATCCTATTCCTTTGTCTAGCAACCTTCATTCAGTTCACCCTCGTACGTACACACATACAATGCGCGCATTCTATTTCTAGCCATTACCTTAGCCTGTACCTTTCCACTACTGCTGCCCATGTTTCCGGCTACCTCATTATAATTTTGTTCCGTTAACAGTGAATGGGTTATCCCACCGTACATCATCAGGACATTGCGTAGCACACGTCAATATAACTCTATAAAAGTTCGAGAAAAAGCTCGCGAGGATTGGTAAACGAGAAACCCTGTACCCAGTACTGACATTTTATTTTGACAGACTGTTCTCTTCAATGATTTACAACTTCCTTATTTTTTATTTCAATAGAATAAATGGTTTATTAAATGAGGTAACATGCTTATACAGAAAAGTTTTATTGTAATATGATTTTACAGATTTATGGATACAGTAATTTAAGAACTTGGCAAATCTGCCTGAAGGTTGAAGTTGAAGTAAAGTGATCACTAGGGGGCGGTTTTGGATAAAATGAAACGTCTTAAAATGCTCTTAAAATGTTTTTAAAATGCCCCAAAACCCAAGGAAAATGACGTAAAAATGTGATCAAAACCAGTTAGGATAAACAACATGACGACATGACCGAATGAGCGAACCGATGGGCGTCATAAGAACCTTAGGTTACATACTCACAATGGTTGTCATTACAATTTCTGAGCGAAGAAATCGAATAGACTACGCAGGAATTCTGTGGAGAACATTTTTGTTGCATCTCGTAAATATTATTTAAAGCAAGAAGCATTAAAATCGATGAAACAAGCAAAACATTCTTCAAAATAATGGAAAAGGAATAAAATTAAGTCGAAATCGATAAAAAATGCAAAAAAAGAATATGAAAATGAATAATTTCCTTCTGTCAAAACATAAAATTAATTTCAATACTAAACGGCATTATTCTAAAGTAAAAAGAAAAAATGACATTTCATTAAAAGCCGCTCCCTAGAGATCACAAAGCTAGTTGATTCAGTGAATATTCTATACTTCCCTTTTTTCTAACATGTACATCAGCAGCCATATGATTTCCAAGACATGGCCAAAATTTCACAAAATTAATAGCATTTCAATCAGCAAGACTTTTCGTTACAATCATCCCGTCTGACCTCGCAAATTTCGCTACAATCTTTTTACCAACTAGCAGAGAAAGGAGGCATTTCTTCGGCAAGAAACAGGCGATTTGAATTTAACTCAGAGGCGTCATTTAGGCGTGATGATATTCTACATGCAAGTAAATATACTAACATGGGACAGCCAGCTTTATTTCCCCTCCGAAGAAACCTGCACGACGGATTTTTTCGCCCTTACAAATTTACGGCTTCGATCGGGTTTGAACCCGCGAACTTGGGTATAACAGTCCGATACGCTAACCGTTACAACATCGCCGCCGTTTTTAACGCATTTAACATTTAACAATCGGTAATGTGAACTACTATCATTTTAACTGGTTCTGCAAACTACAATCATTTTAACAAACGGTTCGCACAAACCGGCCGAATTCCAGCACTGCCTGTAGCGCCCATTGCATCGCGATGCGTCTATGTATGCGTGTGTGTATGTGTGCGTGGCAGGAGTCTGCGGTGCTGATCGCCGGGGGCCCCGAGGCGGGGGAGGTGCAGGGCGCGCCGCCCCCGC